GTGATCCGGCCCCCATCCTTCACCGCTGTCCCTCTGTGTCCAGAGCTCAGAGCTGGACGGGGAGGGGGGGTGTTTCTCTCCCACCCCACTAATTGCTGATTGCTCCTTGCTATTTTCCAGCTGCATGGTCAGAAATGAGGGCCTGCTGTGCCTCCAGCTACAGTGACACAAGGGTGTCCCGAGCCCCCCCCCCCAACACCCCCGTGGACCCCGAGCCCTGGGGCGCCCCAACACCCCCCAGGAGCGGTGGGTGGGGCGCTCATCCCCACCCCATTGCCAGCATCCTTCTCCCCCCCCCCCCCCCCCTTCCCCCCCCCGTGCCCCGAGGGGGGGGGGGGGGGAACACAGGGACATCCCCCCTCACCCCCACTCGGCTTTTCCTCCCAGCCCAAAGTGAGCAGGGATGTTTGGAGCCTATATTTAGCCGTCAGCACGAGGCCAGCCCAGTTCCCAGCAGCGGTTTTCAGTGGGACACCCGCAGCTCTGTGTCACCCCGCATCACCCCACCCATAGCTGCCGCCGGCAAGATGCTGCTGGGGGACATTAAAGCTCGTGGGAAGAGCTCTGTGCCTCCCCCAAGCCCTGCGCCTTCCTCCTCCTCTTCCTCGCTGCAGCTCACCTGGAGGCCACCAGCCACAAGGACACCCAGGTGCCACCAAGAGAATGCCAGCACTGTTCCCAGGAGCAGAGGATGACTTTGCCATGGGGGGGGAGGGGGGTTATATTTGGGCAGCAGAGCCCGAGCCCTCCCCAGAGAGCAGGATTTAGGATTGAGCCCAGCTGTGCTGCAGCCGCCCCACAGCTGAGCCAGCCCCAGGCTTGGGCCACATCTGCTTGGGGGGGGGGGGGGGTAGGCTGGAGGGAATTAATCCAGGGAGTGGAGGCATTTCAGCTCCAAGCATCCCCCCCATCACCTCCTGAGGGACCAGGACAGATGTGGGGCACCTCCAGCTTCCCCCCATGGAATAGCACAGCACTGAGCAGCTTTAATCAGAAGCAGCTGCATCCCATGAGCATCCCTTCCTTTTGGGGGGGGGGGGGGGGAAGAATGTCACACAGCCCCCCCACCTCAGAGCAGCATCCCCAGAATACCTCAGCAGGGAGATGCAGCAGCACTGCTCAGAGTTGAGGCAGAAGACCCAAAAAAGCCCCCCCCCCCCCCCCCCCCCCGGGGCCCGCAAAGGTCGGGGGGGGGGGGGGGGGGGGGGGGGGGGCACCTCCACAGCTTCCATATCAGATAAGGAGAGCAGCACCCAAAATAGCTGGCAGACACCTCTGCTGGGAGACGGCAGCCGGGGGTTAATTCCTCCCATACCTGAGCTGACATTTCAAAGCTATTAAACAATTAATGAGATTCCTACCGTAACCCTAGAAGTTAGGATCCTGTGGCAGCGGGGTTTGGCCAAGGAGGGGATTGGGGGGGGTAAGAAGGGGGGGGGGTAAAAGCACAGGCACTGAGACAAGGTTTATTACATAAAAACGGTAACTTTTATAAAAAGTTTATAAAGCAAGTACAAGGCATGTCCGCAGAAATTCACCTTCCTGCACAAAAGGTACAAACGTTATACTCTAGTATAGAGCTCCACAATACACGAGGCCGTGGCCCCAGAGTTTGGTTCGCGTCTGAGGACCCCTCCCCACAAAAACCGCCCTCAACCCCCCCTTCCCTATCCACCCCCCTCCCCCCCACCCCCCATTAAACACCTTTACAAAGGACTCGCTTCACTATAATCCAAAAATATACAGACAACCGCATCTTCACCAGTCTATCGAAGAAAGTGTCTCGTTTTTATCAGCGGGTTGGAAAACAAAAAAAATAATAATAAAAGTCCTAAAGAAAACGGGGGGCTGAGGGGGGAGAAAAAGTCCTAAAAGAAAGCCGGGATTTTTGGGGAGCGCCGCTCCATGAAGTCGCTCCGGTTGGGGTTCAGCAGCCGCATCTCTCCCGATTTCTGGATATTGTCGGGTATTGAAGGCACCCCCGAGGTGAGGGGAGGTGGGTGCAGCCCCATAGCACAGCACGGGGGGGTCCGCAGCCCCAGAGCCCGCCACGAGGGGGGGGGGGGGGGGGGGGGGTGGTGGGGATGGGGGCCGCAGCCGCCCCGGCGCCGTGCAGGAAGCGGCTCGTTACCTCCGGGAACCGACAGTCGGTGCGTGTTTGCTAATTGGCACTGGGAAAGAAGAAAAGAGCGATTATAGAGAGAATTGGGCAACTGGGGAGGAGGGGGGGGGAAGCGGTGCGGGTTCGGGGTACGGCGGTGCCAAAGGGGGAATCGGTGCGGGGTGGGTTTGGGGTACAGCGGTGCCAAAGGGGGGAGGAGTTGGGAGGAGCGGTACGGGATGGGTTTGGGGTACGGGGGTACCAAAGGGGTGCGGGTAGTTTTGGGGTACGGCGGTGTCGTGCTGAGGGTTTTGGGGTTCCCAGGATGGAGGTGGCACTCACCTGATGGAGGAGGCGTTAGTGACACAAACTTCTCTCGTCTTTGGAGCACAGCTCGGAGGCCAGCTCGGCTGCCTGCAGAAAGCGGGCACAGGGTCAGGGCTGTGGCAGCACCCAGAGAGCCCCTTCCTATCCGAGCCCCCCCTCAACCCACTCCCCCATAGGGAAAAAACACCCCCATACCTTCAGGGACAGCAGGGTGGCCTCCGAGGAGTGGTCTCGCCCCTTGGCCCCCTCTTCCAGCACGATCTGCAGGTCGAAGATATAATCGATGACGTGCTGGAGGATTTCCACCTGGCTCAGCTTGGTGCCCTGCGGGATGCCCGGCACCAACTCCCTCAATTTGGAGTAGCAGTCGTTCATATCGTACAGCAGATTCATGGGTTCCTCCAACGCCGGGCTCTTGTTGTTGCTGCTGCGAGCGATGGCCAAACTTTGCTCCGAGAGGCAGCAAACGGCCTCGTAACAGCTCCTGACCGACCGCACCGGGCTGATGGCTTTCATGGTGTGGGGATGTTGAGTCCGATGGGGCAGAGCGTGGGACCACCGAGTATTTCTTCACCCCTCGGATCTCCGCTCCCGGCTCCTCCGACCCCCTCTTGCTCCGAGCACCCGAACCTCGCTGCCGCACTGGGGGTGGGACGGCCCGGCGCGGCCGTCTATATGGGCAGCCCATTGGCCACGCCCCTATTGTATGCAAATAACGACAAGTCACTCCCCCTTATATGCAAACGACCAGCCAAGCCCCACCCATTCATGTAAATGAAGCAAAAGGAACTCCGCTCCCCCCTCCCCCCCCTCCCCGATGACCCTTGGTGGCCCCGTGGGGACAAGGGGACACAGCCGCGCTGATCCCATCCCACCCCACGGCATCACCCCAACCCCCCC